GAATTGCTCAAAAAGATTTCACTCAAGCTCTCAGTGAGTACATGCTCTTCCAATGAACAAAGGACTCAATTTATACATGCTTTATGGTTGCAACGGTTGAGATTAAATCTCTCCCATACTTGCCGAAGAAGGAAGTGTCTAAATGTTTAGATGAACAATTGTTTCATCACCCCACTCCAATTAATATTCTTCATCATCTGCTTGTGATACTTGACGTCGTGGCCAACCTCACACAAAAACCGATCATAGTGATTAAAAATAAATTAAAAACTGGACCAATGTCGAATTTTTGAAAATCTTGATTCTATAAAAAGTTTAACGTGTTGATAGCACTAGATATTTTGAGCCAATTACCTAAAAAATAATCCTGGATCACACAAAAGAGGGGATTACTTGTGCACAAATTCCCTTTTTTTTTTCTTTTTTTTTTTGGTCATTCGCTAGGGAGGGGAGGTGGAAGTATTATATTGGGTTGCCTCAATATTATCTCTTACGTGAATCGAACTCGAGTGCACTTGGGGAGGGGAGGGAGAGAGTTTGGCTTACTTTTCCAGTGCGGTACCACCCCATGTGCTTGTGCACAAATTGCTTGACATGAATGATTTTGGAGTCCATGTATTAATAGCTATGACCGATGAATTAAATCACGCATATTTTGGATCAAACTTTTTCCATTCAATTAATGCAGTGCTGATTATTTATTGGAATTAATGCGTCTTTAATTGGCACTAAACTATTGTGTGACACATTGAAATTACTATGTAAAGGATAGGCATATAGTGGTCATTTAATTTCTTGTTCCTGAAGAATGATGGAAGTTAGCCCGTTGACATATTTGCCGGTGTTTGAAATTATTTTCTTAGCACCACATTCCAATATATCATGCAACACATTGGAATTACATGCAAAATAAAAATAAAAATAATTGGTATGCTGGTATGTCTATTTCAATTTCTGTTCTGGAAATTAGCTGTATAGCTAGGGAAAATAGTTGTAGCTAGGGAAGCTTTTTAGCAAGGTTTCACATTTTAAGCATGTAGACCAAGATTAGAGGATGGTTTTATAGACCGTAATACACCCAACCTTCTGGCCACTATTATTTAATTAATTTGTCTAATTAGTCAATCCTTCTTACTTATATTTTTTTTAATAAAAACCGTAGTATTGCCTGGCCGCTATACTTTTTTTATTAAAAAATACCCTGAGTACAGCTGTGCGGCGATACTATTTTGTATTAAAAAAAAAGTAGTATAGCCGCTTGGCTATACTGCTTTATTTTTTAAAAAAACCCGGGTATAGCCGGTCGGCTATACTATTTATAATAATTGTAAAAAATGACCACCTGTTGGGCGTGCAGCGCCGGCATGCCGTGTGTCAAACCCTGCGTATACCATTATACGATTTATAATTAAAAAAAGAGGACCTCCTGCTGGGCGCCTTAAGCCTGCATTGCTACCAAAGATAGTATAGCGGCTATACTGTAGCAGTATAGCCGAGCAGCTATACATTTTTTTGGGAAAAAAACCGTGTCTAGCCGCGCGGCTATACGACTTATAAATATAAAAATTAGCCGTAAAGCCGCACGGCTATACTATTTATAGCCGTACAGCGATACTGTTTTGAGTCTAGCCGTCCGGCTATACTATTTATAGCTTCAATTCCTCCGTACTCGCAGAACTCTTCCTTGCCATCAACCCTCCGCCATTATTGTACTTCTTCTCGCTTGCGGTCCCCGACTTACTCCCTCTCGAATTTGACAAAACCCCATTTGCTTTTGACCAACACTTTGCCGGCGGGGTCATCTCAAGCGTCGACGGAAGCCTTGACGATGGCTTGCGGTTCTCTTTTTCTCAACACAGCGGAGAAATCAGGCACTGACTGAGCCTAGCCGGAGGACCCTTTACGCGATTTGGTCGTATTAGTGTGAAATTTGACTTGTTTCTTCAACGAGCTGTGGTTTAAATTCAAGTTCTTAGCCTCTCCTGGCCTCAGATACTTCCTTCGCAGCTTTGATTCTCTGAGCTCCGCGTAGGCTCCGTATCAGGGTCCTCTGTCCATGATGGGTTCGAGGGCTTGGTCTGGTTTTGGGTTCTGGGAGAGAATGAGGGAGATGGGTTCGAGGGGCTTGGAAGAGATATTGAAAAGCAGGGTTTGGTTGATGATGGGTTTGTTGCAGAGAGCCGTTAGTGACTGCCATCGTTGATGAATTTGAGGTCACTCTCTGTGCAGAGATATTTTGGGTTTAGGTGGATTTAATGATTAAAGTTTATTTTAAGAATAATGGTGGGGAAAAAATAGTTTTTATCAATAAGAGACAGAATTTATACCTCAATTTCATAAATATAAGTTTTTATAAAAAATTTCACATATATCCAAAAACTCACTTAAATTGACACAAATACTCTCAAAATTAAACCAAATAACTCACAACTATGGTGGCCAAGCTTATTGTTGACCATTTCTTCTTACCTTACTAGTTATGGCTACGAACCCTAAACTCAACTTAAAAACTCAAAACCCCAATTTTATATCAAGTTTGATGGACTTGGACAAATTCAATCGCTCTTCTTTCTTCTCTCACTTTAAAACTAAAAAACCATATCTTTCCAAGCCTTGATTAAATCTGGTGTTGAGCTTCTTTGTAGTGGTGTTGAATAAAATGCTTTTGCCTTGTCGTATGTGCTTTTCCCTTTTAATTTTAAACTATATTAATATAATAATCTCCCTTGCACTCTTTTCAAATTAAATAAAATGAATCTGCGTCTGTATTCCTTTGTAACAGAAAAACCGACGGAAGGCAAATATTGTTGCGATTTATTCTTAGAAAGGGGAAGTTTTAAATCTACAAAAGTCGAGCAAAAAAGAAGAAGGGATTTTTGACTTTCTTCATGGTCAATCTTTGAGGCTCTATGTTTGTGTTGTGGTGATAATTAAGAAGCAGCAAAATTGGGACTTTAGTCTTTGTTTGTGGAAAAATTCCCCCTTTTTGTTTTGTTGTTTTAGTAATATAGATAATGTGAAGAGGTTGGTTTTATGGGTAATTATGTTTTAATTTTGAGGGTAATTTTGTTTTAATTTTGGCTATTATTGATAAAACCTCGTGGAAAAATAGGATTATACTAGCAAAGGTGCCCGCACGATGTTGCGGGTTTAAGTTACGAAATAAAGACTAATAACATGTTCTATATGTTGCTTGTCATCTTAAAATATTGATCAAATTTTGGGGAAACTGAAAATGCACAACAACAAATTAAATAAGGGATATAATTAACTGCAATCATTAAGTTTTACTAAAGGTTTAAATTCCATCAGTTCTGCCTAAAAACAGTTTAAATTCCATCAGTTCTGCCTAAAAACAGTTTAAATTCCATCAGTTCTGCCTAAAAACAGTTTAAATTCCATCAGTTCTGCCTAAAAACAGTTTAAATTCCATCAGTTCTGCCTAAAAACAGTTTAAATTCCATCAGTTCTGCCTAAAAACAGTTTAAATTCCATCAGTTCTGCCTAAAAACAGTTTAAATTCCATCAGTTCTGCCTAAAAACAGTTTAAATTCCATCAGTTCTGCCTAAAAACAGTTTAAATTCCATCAGTTCTGCCTAAAAACAGTTTAAATTCCATCAGTTCTGCCTAAAAACAGTTTAAATTCCATCAGTTCTGCCTAAAAACAGTTTAAATTCCATCAGTTCTGCCTAAAAACAGTTTAAATTCCATCAGTTCTGCCTAAAAACAGTTTAAATTCCATCAGTTCTGCCTAAAAACAGTTTAAATTCCATCAGTTCTGCCTAAAAACAGTTTAAATTCCATCAGTTCTGCCTAAAAACAGTTTAAATTCCATCAGTTCTGCCTAAAAACAGTTTAAATTCCATCAGTTCTGCCTAAAAACAGTTTAAATTCCATCAGTTCTGCCTAAAAACAGTTTAAATTCCATCAGTTCTGCCTAAAAACAGTTTAAATTCCATCAGTTCTGCCTGAAACAGTTTAAATTCCATCAACCATTTTGGCCAGAGCAGCCTGTTTATACTGAGATAAATTGTTAAAGTCCTCACCCGTCTGAGGCAAGAAAAGAACTTACTTGGGAGATATTCCTCACCCAAATTCACAATCGTTTGTTTGCAGAAATCAGTAACTTGGGGCGCAAGTTATCTACTCCAAACTAAGTCTGCTAGAATTTGTATTGCTAGCAGTGGCACGCTCGCACACCAAAGAAAGCTGACTTGTCAACCAGTTTATGGTTCTCAAGGCAGTGGGGAACTTTGCCCTTCCATCACAGGAGTGAACACCGAAACGGGCAAACAGAACTCCCTCCGATGGTTAAGTCAGAAGTGGTCTAAATGTGGAGAAATGGATGTAGAGTTTGCAAGGTGAGAATATTTATTACCTTTGTCCAGAGATATGTGAGGGGTATTTATAGGGAGGGAGGAGAGACAAAGATATTTAAGGAAGGGATATTTATCTTCCTTGCCCCTGGTGGGACTGGACCACATTAAATGACTTCTTCTGATCACCATGTTGTCTGGCAGGGATTAGGTGGTAAAGCGACAGTTGACTTTGGATAGGAGGCAATTAATTGATCCATCTCCATCACCTGGCTAATCATCAGGGGAACATATGGTAAAGCAACACTTGGCTTTGGATGTGAAGTACATTAACTGATCCATTTCTATCGCCAGGCTATTGTATCAGGCGAAAGGAGTGACTGACTCGATAGGGGTCTGATCGTGCCTTCAGACTATCAATGCGCCTCTGGTCATACACGGCATCCTAGTGGTATGGTCAATACCCGTGTGCCCAATAACTGATTCACATTCTCCCATCAGGCTCAGCTTGGAGGCCCTTGATCGACACCCAGAGTAGTAACTCTGGTCAGGTCGGTATACGGGGGACCCAGTCACTTATGGCCACGTGATGTTCTCTGATAGGCTCGGCTTACAGTGATGGTATGAACCATTAACAATTTGGTAATGAATTATTCATTTCATGCTACCCAAAAAAAAAAAATGATATTGACATCAAAGTGACAATGTTCTTACAAATTTATTCACCAAAGCACTACAAGCTGCAACCTTGATAGCTAAGCAAGGTAATAATAGGTGAGATGGCCAAGTTTCACCTCCAAATCCAATATGCACGAATTTTCTGAACTATTTTCAATTATAAACTATACAGTTAATTAATGGGCTAAATATAGTAATATGAAAGCCACCTATCAATCATGGGAAAACATTCCCTAGGATTGTACTCTGTAGCTGCGTGGCCAGCTCCCTGTACAGGTAAAACAAAAGTTAATTTCCAATGTTTACTTCTTGAGAAACATAATTGGGAAGGATTAATTTTCTCTTCTTGCCTTCACAGTCGCATATGTCAAACTGTACGCTTTCCTTGTATATGCTTTCGTATACCTGTGATAAAAATAATAATAATAATAATAATGTATTTAGAAATTGCAGTGAAATTATGAATTGTAAAACAATGATATGATGGTGTGAAATTGATAGTAGCAAAACCAACCCGGCAACTTGGCCATTGACAAACCATGGTCTCCAAGTGTAATCAATACTTAAATTTAGAGATGTTATCCATTCTTCAGTGCCCACGTATGGAACAAGCATGTCATGATCACCACTGTTACAAATTAACTTTGTTCTTTAGGAGAGAGGAATTATTCAACTATTCAATAGAGCTCAAACACAAATCAATTAGTACAATAATAAGCACTTACTTTGGTCATACTAACAATATAATTTTATAATCCGAATCGACTAATTTCTAGGTCCTCATTGAAAAATCATTCAAGAGAAATTTCATCTAAATTGGAAATCATTCAACCACTTAATTGGTATCGTGAACATTTTCTTGTTTATTGAAAATATTGTGTTCATCTGTTTATTTGATCACAACTAAACATTGTCTGATTTAAATGAACTTTTGCATAAATCATCTTCCAATGATGACCTAAAAAGTAAAAAGTTCGAATTATGAGATGGTTGTGGAGTAGTGCAAAACAAGTAGTTAGCGTTTGTGGGATATTGTTCATCTATGTATTCGCAAATTTTTTAAATAGCTCATAGCTATATAAGTTTTCGCATGACGTTAGTGGTACTTTAAGAATAGACAAACTTGGAAATGTGGAAAATTAATATTAAGAATAGGAGTGTTGTTATTTTCACCCACATTATTTTTAAAAATTTAAAGACAAATTTACCCCTTTGTAAAATGACTTCTAAGGACTTGGGAAAAAAAATCTCAACTCATGTAACCCACTTATTCTAACGTTTGACAAAAGAAACAAGGCAAAGAATTAAAAAAAATTAAAAGATATAGAAAATCAAAATATTAGACTAAAACATTTATCCAATACGTCAAACACAACTCGATCGTCTTCATATCACAACTACTAATTATTAGCAAAGAGAATTTGCTTGAATGAATAATTAAAGGGTATTTTAAGAATAATAGTGGCTGGAATGATAGGATTGTGTTTTTTTAAATTTACATAGTTGGGTGGGGAAAATAGACACGGGGGTGGAAATAGGTGTACCTGTAAACCAGTGCTCTAAGGTTTTTCTTGGTGAGGTTTCGATGATAGTCAAGACTAGTTCTAACATCATGTGCATAACTGCTAGAGAAGCTCTGATTGCATCTTTCCCAACCCTTTATTGTTCCCTGCAGGTTGTAATGGTAAATAAAATCGTGAATATTTTATGTAGGTATTGTAATTCTCAAAATTAATTAACTTACCTCTCGAACGTGAAGAGCATTTTGGACAGTTTTATCATTAGCCCAGATGTAGGAGAACAGATAGTTATAAGCCTGCAAAGAAGTACGGATAGTAAGATATTAGCATGCAGCATATTTCAATCACATGTATATAAAGATATTACTAAATTATATTTTTAATTAGTCTGTATAATATGACTCATTTTTTGTTTATGTCATTTCCCTTTTGGCGATTTTAGTTATGTTGTTAGGTCCATTTATATTGTGTGTGAGAGAGAACGAGCTAGAAACTTACACGACACCATGGTTCTAGATAGCGATGAGGCATATCTAAGAAGTTCTCTCCAGCAAAATTTCGATCCCGTTTGGATCCTTTTGGTTTTGGAGACATTGTGCTGCATATTGGCTCCAATATTTGGGGACTATTTATCTTTTGGAGGCACTACAAGTTTATTCGAGTGGCAAATCCATCATTAGGCCAATAAATAAATGTAAACCATGAACATTAATATTGTGGTAATTCTCACCTGAGTGACTTCTTGAAGGTTTTCCACACAAGGTGCATTGCTTGGATCTACTTGAACATACTCCCCCTTGCAATTTGTTTTAGTTGACTATAATACCAAGTGATTAGATCTTATATTATCTATCAATAATAAATAAAAATTGATTATTAATTTCTCTTTTCCAACGTTATTAATTTTTTCTCCATAGATATGTTTCTAGGTATTTGTATTATTATTGCATTAACAGAAGCACATTTGTATATATAACTTACGTATTCAGACCCCAAAAAAAAAAAATTAGGCATTATTTTTCTTCCTTTGTTAGTTAATTAGATTAAACTAGCAAATGTGCCCGCACGATGTTGCGGGTTTAAGTTACGAAATAAAGACTAATAACATGTTCTATATGTTGCTTGTCATCTTAAAATATTGATCAAATTTTGGGGAAACTGAAAATGCACAACAACAAATTAAATAAGGGATATAATTAACTGCAATCATTAAGTTTTACTAAAGGTTTGGCATTTGGGAATTAAGAGATTCCAGTCGACAAAAGTCTCTCTTCCGACAGTATAAGCAAATATCATTACAAAATCATTTATCCTTCAAAAAGGATGGAAACAGTTTCATAATATTAGAAAAATCAAAAGGGGAATTTAATAATTTGTCGATTGTTACAGTGGTTTTCTGGTCACAGGTTGCACTTCTAGTAGAGTGTCAAATTGGGACAAAAAACTTTGAAAAATTAGGCAGAATCTTTAAGAAATTGTAACACAACATGGTATACAAACTTTATAGATGCAGAAATCATTTTGTTGCAAAATTACCTCACTCAACACCTAAAAAACATAGAATGAAGACAAAAAGCAAGAAAAAAATTGAAAAATTGCAATTTCTGATTTTCTATTCCCAAAACTGTCCAAATATGTTTTTCTTTGCAGTGTTTTTATATGAGATGCCTGAACTTCATTAGTCCACTTCTAAAACAAAAGAAAAATCTTGGAAAACAAAAACAAATAGAGATAGAAGAAAACAAAATATCAGCCATCATCAAAACCCAAAGCCAAAAATCAGAGTCAAAGTTTGACCAATAGATCAATAGTTGGGAAGGGAAAAAAACATTCAAGAATTAAACTGTTATTTCTTAATTACATCTATAGCCTAATAAAGCAAAATGGACACACACCGACAATAGCACAACTATATAGAAGTACATTCTATGAGCAGAAAATATAGATCAAACTCTGTTAGATGACTTACAGAGATATATATACTCATTCATCAAATAGCTGTTGTGCAATATGAAACAATGGTAGTGCACACAGAGAAAGAGATCATCTTTTTCCCTTAAATCAATTACACATTGTCACTCTCTCCCCACGTTGGGAGTTGTCAAGTACCTAGTTACCAAAATACTTAAAAAGGATTCACTGACATGCTCAAATATTGTAATCATCTAAACCTATCATTACAACAACAAATTAACAACCTGTTATAGCAGCAAAATCATTACAGAATCACATCTTTTTCCCTTAAATCAATTACACATTGTCACTCTCTCCCCACGTTGGGAGTTGTCAAGTACCTAATTACCAAAATACTTAAAAAGGATTCACTAACATGCTCAAATATTGTAATCATCTAAACCTATCATTACAACAACAAATTAACAACCTGTTATAGCAGCAAAATCATTACAGAATCAATTTGGGCAAAGAATGAAAGGATTCAACAGTATGTTCAGAAATCCATCAGCAAGTCATTAATCTATTAAAAAGTTTAGTGGATGCAAACAGTGCTATCATGAGTTTAGGCTATTTATATATACATTGAGATGCAAACAGTGCTATCATGAGTTTGGACTATTTATATATACATTGAGATGTAAACAGTGTGATCATGAGTTTGGCAAGCTTATGTTGCAAAACATAAACTAACATCATGTTTGATATGCTGCTTATTATGTTAAAATATTGTGCATATTTTAATATATCAAGCAGCTATTAAAACATCAAAATATGAGCAGCCTTAAGTTGCATATTGTTCAAAAAAACTTGTACATGCGTTTATCTATATTTTAATGAGTAGTGCACATGGATTTTTCTTCTTTGATGCTTTTGGTACAGGGCTTTTGTTGTTGCTGCATTTGTTGTTTGGTTGACTAATGCCATTTTTTCTCCTTTTTAGAGGTTTTAGCTCTGTTGGCATAAAGTCAAAAATTGGCAAGTATTAATTATTATGATAGAATTAAGTTTAATAAGTAAACATAAGAAATAACAATGAAATACTTTGTGTGTAATGTGTGTATCAGTGAGATGAATGAATTGAAAAGGAAAGAGCACAAACTCTGATGTGGCAGTAGGAGAGGTGGTTTCGGAACTGCCTTGGACTGTTTTCTTCTTCAAACTGATAATTGGTAAATTGTCAGAAGCTGACACATTTTCTTCTCTGGTTTGCACAGCAACAGTTTTCTCATATTTGTTTTCAGCTTCAACATCACTTAGAAAGATGTAAAACAGAGTGAAAAGAAAAGTATTAGTAAATGTTTATATAAAAATATCAATACAAATGAGTTAATTGTTATGTAAACTCTAACCTTTTCAGTTTTTACTTGTTAAAGAGGTGAGAAGAGCTCTTTTCACTGCAAGTTTACGTTTCTTTTTCGAATTTGAAATGGGCTCCACTGAAGAAGGATTGGATGAGACAGCGAGAGATACATGCGGTGTTTGCTTTGAAAGAAGTGGGGGAGTAGGCGGAAGCATTTGGGCAGCAATATTTTTTTTCTGATGCTCAACAAAGTTGGCTTATGATCCTGATTCAAGAAGTTGTACCTTCTCATCAAACACAGCTTGAATAAGCAAATCATTTCTGTTTGAATCAGTTTTTATGCTCCCAAACCGAAGTTGAAATTTTTTAAATTGGCCTCTTGTCTTTAGAACTGCATGTGGAAACTCTTGCTGGTCAATATAACCTTGTTGAATAACCAATTCATTGCAAGAAATTCCAAACAATTGCTCTGCTGCTTTTCCAATGATCATAGCATTTGTTTCATCAGTTGAATCATTTTTAAATTGGCCTCTTGTCTGTAGAACTGCATGTGGAAACTCTTGGTGGTCAGTATAACCTTGTTGAATAACCAATTCATTGCAAGAAATTCCAAACAATTGCTCTACTGCTTTTCCAATGATCATAGCATTTGTTTCATCAGTTGAATCCTCAAGAACTAAACCAACTTTAAACCTGTATGTAAAATTCATGTAATGTTTTAATAATCTAAGATATTTGTGTTCGAAGTTTATGAAAAAATAAGATGAAACTAATTGCTAATATTTGTATTACCAGGAGAGGAATTTGATTATTGTGTTTAGGACACAGAAGTTCATCACTGTGGGCAATGGATCTAAGCTGTTTGAAGCAGGATGGACATGCCTTATACCACCATCCACTACGCGTATCAAAACGTGTAATGGCTGCTCTACATAAAATGAAAGCATCCTAGAACATGTTTAAAGGAGAGGAATTTGATTATTGTGTTTAGGACACAGAAGTTCATCACTGTGGGCAATGGATCTAAGCTGTTTGAAGCAGGATGGACATGCCTTATACCACCATCTAGTACGCGTATCAAAACGTGTAATAGCTGCTCTACATAAAATGAAAGCATCCTAGAACATGTTTAAACAGACTTGTTAATAAAATGATAATAATTATAAAACATACAACAATAAGAGAAAATCGAAATAAATTCTAGTTTAAAGAATTTATAATGTAGTATGTTAAATTAAGAATAATAGGGAGATAAAGGGAGGAAATTGGCTTTTTACCTTGCATAAATCCGGATCAAGAACATTCAACTCTTGTATAGATAGCTTTTTAGCAGTTTCTAATTCCTCAGGCTTGATCGGTTGAATTGAAGAAGGAGGGACCATTTTAATAGCATCTACAAAAGTGCCAAAGCTGTGTTTGTTTTTGTTGTTGTTTTTTTATATATAAAAATGAGGTGATTAGTTTCGGATAAAGGAGGAAGAAAGATGTATGTTAGCATAAAGAGGATAAAAAATCATACGTCATTTTGTATGTATCTAATTCTTGTATATCCGGATCGATGAAAATCATTGTTGACACGCTACTGTTCAGAACGGTTTTTCCTACACATTTGTAAACTATAAATCAGATTTTTTTTATTTGAGATGAAGTTTGAATAATGGAAAGAAAGGAAAATTAAGCTGAATACCTTGGAATTGTTTGACTTTAAGACTTTGTGAAAACAGTGATTATTGGTGGTGCCAACTCTTACAAAGCTTGGAAATCAAACGCTCGTGCAGTGTCTCCCCATAGCGTTATTCTAACATCTTCTTTCCTGGATTATCAAACATGAAACAATAAATTAGCAAGAGATATAATGGTTTGAAAATGTGCACACATTTTGTTAACACATGTACCTGATATTTTGAATGTAAATTTCACATTTGGTTTCCAACCGTCCATTGCCCACCATTTTTTCTTCTAAAGGTTGTACAGCAGTAATGTGTCCCAAAACATCTGCAATTTGACAAAGTAGTATGATAAGTTTATAGAAATGCATAAAAATTGTTGATAAATATATATTATACATAAATGCATATTTTTGGAGAATATGTAGAGTATTACCTGTCAGGATTTCATTTTTGTCTATGCGAGTGCACAACTGACCATAATCAAGAAAATAAAATCGATGTCATGGAATTTGGGGATAAACACTTGACAGTTTGGTGAAAACGGTTCTTGTATTGAAGAACAAATGGGCAGCATGCGGAACAACTTTGTGTGATGTTTTGCTACGGCCGGAGTGAAAATGTGTGATCTCATAAATACAACCAGCTTTTATCTTTGCACCAATTAAATCATAGTGAATCTCTTTCACAATGGCTTGAATCGCATCTGCCTACATGTTTGAAAAAAGAAGGAAAAAAAATTTAGTATGAAACAAATTATATTTGTAAACAACCTAGTTGAAAACCAAATATTAGAAGTAGCATCGATCTTTAAGCATTTAGACGAAGCAACTTTGAAACAACAGTGAATTTAAAAATGAAATATTAGAAGCATGATTGATTTCCATGCATTACAGTCATTAAATAAGAAAACTTAATGAACCAAGTTAATATCATGAAGAAAAAAGTGTTAAAAGAAGACAAATATAGTCTTGAGACTCGCATGCACAGGAAGAGGGCTGTTTAAATGATCGTAGATGCATTTGAAAGAAAGAGTATACGATAATTACAGTCATTAAATAAGAAAACTTAATGAACCAAGTTAATATCATCAAGAAAAAAGTGTTAAAAGAAGACAAATATAGTCTTGAGACTCGCATGCACAGGAAGAGGGCTATTTAAATGATCGTAGATGCATTTGAAAGAAAGAGTATACGATCAAAATTTACCTATGCAAAAGTTCCCTTAAACAATCAAGATTTTTTTATATTTTTAAATTTCATTTGTAACCTTTCTTAGCCTTGTAGATTTTGCTCACTACCTTCCTCTTTTATTTTCCCACTTCTACTTTTTTGTCTTCTTTTCGTAGACCTTGGATTCCACTACTCAAAAAGAACTTTATACATTCTTGAAATATTAGACAAAAGGCAATGTTAATCTAGAGTGACTTCTACCACTACAACACTAATAACATGATATTCACATGATATTCACCTTTTTAATCACAAACAGAGAAGAAAAATCATGGAAAACAAATCCAAAGAGCTATGAACCCCTAAAGTATAGCCATCCAAAAAAATTCAAGGCGGAAATATTTACTTCTTGTCAATCAAGCTCATGAAAAATCAATTCCTTGTTTGGACCCCAAAATTTTTAATCACAAAGTACATTTTCTACAACAGATTTTGTTTACCCAACAAAAAAATAGAAGGAAACTATATAACTATTTGCATAATTACAAATAAATAAATCATACGCTATTATTTTCAGTAACATAGAGGAATAGAACATAGAATTGAAAACAAAACAAAAACATTTATTAAAACTGTATTGCAATACATAACACAACAATTTCTTTTGTTTCTATATAATATCCTAATCTCCTTTGTTTCCATGGAAAATTGGCATTTTTGAGATAAGGAAAAGCCAAAGAACAATTTCATTAACACACACTGAAAAGCATTATCCTGAATTGAAAACTTTCAATTCCCATATCAATATCAAATTTCAAAAAGTCCAACTTCTAAAAACAAAATACATAAAAACCAACCCATGAATGAAAACAGCATAAAAAATAACCCAAAAAAAACATAGAGAATTGCACCAAGATCCATGATCCATCTATTTATACCATCACTCTATATATTAGCTTGCTTTCAGAGCCTTCAACTGTCGAATGAACATCAAACCACTAAAAGAAAGAAAGTCTCTTGACAAAAAATCTCCCAGCCAACAAATTCTTCATATGGAAGAAATACTTGGGAATGGAAGGTATAGTGCTACCACCCTTCTCTTTCTTTTTCTCTTTGTCACTCACACAAACACATATATTCTAGTGTTCCAAACAACCAATACTCTAATAATAAGAATGAAACAGGGAGCACGGAAGGCTGTATGAGTGAGACTATAAGTAAAGAAAGAGCTGAAGCTGTGAAGAATGATGCAGAACTACCACTCTTCAATTTAAAAAGAGTTTTAGCTGCAACAAACAACTTCAATGTAGCGAATAAACTGGGAGAGGGAGGATTTGGCCCTGTTTATAAGGTGACACTTTCTAAACTGCTTGATAAATAAACTATGAGAACCAATTTGGAACGGAAGAAAATTAAAAACGATTTAGGTTTTTGGAATGGATAAGGGTGTTTAACAAAAGCTATTACGTAATCGAGTGATACATACACATATATACAGGTCTAAATTATTGACATTGGCAGGTGCTAGATTATAAAATTTATAGAAAAAATGAATGAAAAAGACCTATATTAAGATGTAAATATTAATGCTAAGATTATATAAGAATTGTTCAACTGAAATAAACTATTAGGTAATTTTGAAACATAATTTAATCTAGTTTTATCAAATATATTAAGCGACTCTAATATCATAGTAGTAAATGCTTGAGGAAAATTTAATCCAGTTGGATTTAATTCTTTGCAAATGAAGTTTTCATAATTAATTAAAACTGAATGCAGTTTTAGGAAATATATCAGTTAACTTTAAAATCATAGTAGAAAATACATTAGTAAAATTTAATCTAGTTGAATCTAATTGTTTGCAAGGGAAGAAGCTGTGATAACTAAACTGAAATAACATGAATAATAAGGAGATTTTCTCACCATTTGATCATCCAATATACACTACACTGTAAACCACCGAATTGATCATCATATCCAATAAGTTTTGGTCTCCAAATTCTACATACACGGACTTTAATCTTCTTGTTAAATTGAAACGGCTGTAAACCACGGATGTGAACGAAACTCATTGTATCATAAACCTGAAAAAAAAATATATATTTTGTTAGTATAAAAATGTATACAGCAATGTATGAAAATTGATATAAAAAAATATAGAAATATTTAACCACAGATGGATAAAAGTTGAAACCTGATTGTAAATTTTGAAGAACATCTTTGTACACTATGTTTTTAGTGTATTTGTTAGGCGCTTCTTTATTATTGTGTATTATGATTTTAAGACCTTGCCTTGATGTAACTCTAGATAATGCAACATAAAGTTGCCCATGGGTGAACACAGGTTGAGAAAGATACAGTCCAACTTGTTTTAAAGATTGGCCTTGACTTTTGTTTATCGTCATTGCATAGCATGGCCGAATTGGGAATTGGCGCCTTTTAAAAATGAAAGGCCATTTGTTTTCAGTTGCTGTAAGGCTGATTCTAGGTATGAAAACTCTATGGTCAATGTTGTTGCCAGCAAGTATTTTTGCTTCAATAATTTTATCGTACAGTTGGGTGATAACTAATCGTGTTCCATTGCATAAACCCGAAGATTGATTTAAGTTTCTCAACAACATGATAGGCATTCCTATTTTTAAAGCCAAACTATGTGAAGGCAGACCATTGAATTCAAGTTTATTTAGAAATTCTGTAGGGTACATAATGCTAAGGTTTTCAAAATTTCCAGACGATGAACATAAAGAATCTGAACTCAAATAAGTTCGTTCTTGTCCGGGTAATAAATGAATTGCATAATTATTTATCTCTGTTACAGTTGTGTTTCTAGGTGTCCAATGGCTCGTTCCCTTAAGTAGGCAAAATTGTTTAAATTTTTGTCAAAATCTGGGTATGTTGCTGCAAAAATTGAATGAATAGGATGTGTGTATGAATGAATGAGTAAATCTTCAGGAATTTCAATCCAAGATGCATCTTTATCGTTTGGATCATCTATATCAATAATTTGACCATCACCAATGCGCAAAATCCAATTTGCAAAATCACTTATTTCTTGTTTTTCTTCAACACTTAATCCGTTTTTTCTAGCCTCATATTTTCTTTTAAATGGAATATTTTTTAAAAAGGCCATAAATAGGAACTGTTAAGGGAGGCATTTATTATTTCTTCTCTTGTTCCTCCTGGAATATATTTGTCTAAAATCACCATCTAACAAAAAAAGCTTGCCACCAAATGGAGCATTTTTATCTGAATTGTTCAAATGCGATAAAATATCAGAAAGTGATTTGTCCAATGCTTCAAAACAATGTTTATGATTCATTGGAGCTTCATCCCAAACAATTAGATCGGCTTTTTGAATTAGTTGGGCAAGGTGAGTTCCCTTTTTTATCTGACATGTTGAGCAATTGTTAATAGTTAAGGGGATCTTAAATCTAGAGTGAGCTGTTCTACCACCTGGTAATAATAATGATGCTATTCCTGATGAAGCAACAGCCAAAACAATTTTTCCTTGAGATCTAATTTTACTTATTATTGTATGCCACAAAAAAGTTTTTCCTGTTCCTCCATGGCCATAAACAAAAAAGAGGCCTGGCCTTTTTTCATTCACAGCGTTGATGACACAATCATATACATCTTTCTGACCTTTGTTGAGTTGTGGCAGTAAAGCTGAATGTTCTTTTTCCAAATTATGATAATCATAATTCAATTCTTCTCTCAACAACTTGTTTCTAAGTTCTAACATTTTATGTTCATCAGGCATAGGGAGATGATGATCTTTTAAAGAGCTGGATGATACATTGAAAAGCTGCTCTAATTCAAACAAAAGATAATTTTTTAATTCAAATTCTGGCAAAATTAGATTCGGCATTGAAAAAGTTTTTTGTAGTTTGTACAAAATGTCATCACACATATTTTGCCAAGAAGTGTCAAAAAGGAGTTGAGGATTCCCTACATCACAAAATAAAATGATTGTAACAAACAATTGCCTTAATTCAGAACATGAGGCAGTATTCACTGCATCTGTTAAAGCTTCAATCCACTCTTTATCATCTCCTAACAAACCTAGGGACTTGCATGCAGCTTGGTATGATGGTTGTATAATGCCGTTAACAGTTTTTATGTCATCAAAATGAAAGGCTCCTTTTTGCAAATTTAAAAGCATCCTTAAATAATATAATTCGCCAGATGAAGGATGTACATGAGCTATTCTACCTATGGATCCCTTTTTTTTTCTAGGTTTCCACATCTTACTGCGAGAATCCCACACAAATTTTGATGGCAATTCTGCATAAGTTAGAGTTCGCGCTTCTTGAAAAGTTTTATTGGCTTCAAACCAACTTGTTAACATTGTATATTCAATACCTTTTTGATTAACAATTGATTGAAGCGATCGATCACCATTGAAAACAACATTTT